TCTTCTTCTACGCGCACCGGCTGTTCCACGCGCGCTGCTTGTACCAGCGCTTCCACAAGATTCACCACCGCTTCACGGCGCCCGTGGCGTTTGCGTCCGAGTACGCGCACCCCGTGGAGCACCTGCTGGCGAATGTGCTGCCGGTTGCGCTGCCGCCGATGCTGCTGCGCACGCACGTGGTGACCATGTGGGTGTTTGTGGCGTGCCAGCTTGTCGAGACGGCCACGGTGCACAGCGGCTACGATTTCCTGCGCGGGCTGGCGAGGAAGCACGACCGCCATCATGAGCGGTTTAATGTTTACTTTGGCGGCATTGGCGTGTTGGACTGGTGGCACGGGACGGATGAGAGGGGCGGGCCGAAGGCGGGGAGGAAGGTTGATTAGAGGGGAGGAGGAGGAAGAAAATGAAGCCGGCTTGTCTTGGGGTGTACATGTACGACGTTGTATGTCTGGTAGCTTGACACCTCTTGGGCTGAAATTGGCATTCAAAGTACCTGGTTATACACTACCAAAACCAAAGAGAACAGAAAGAAGAAGAGACAAAGTAAGACAAAATTCCATCATTTGCTGCCATCTGCATGTATACATGACCGCCGTCTTTACTGAGTCTTTTGCGCGACAGGCTTAGCTCGAGACGGCGTGGCCGAGAAGCGCAGATATGCAAACACGAGCAATCCGCCGACGATGAGCGCGGCAAAGTTGCCTAAACATGGTAAGTCTCGGTGGAAATACATGTATAGCATTGACGCAAAGGGACACGTTGTTACTCACTCGCGACAAACTTGCCCACGCCGCCCGTCAGGTGGACAGCCTGCAGGACAATGCTCTGCACCAGGTTCAGAATGCTGGCGATGAAATTCCATACGGTGCTGAATGCGGCATGGATGACGGCGTAGATTGTGGAAAGGACCGAGGCGAATAGCTCGTAAATGGACTTGAACAAGTCTGACACGGCAGACGTGAGAGCCATATTGCCGGGCTGTGCAGTATTTGGATGGATGTGGGATGGGGATCAAGGTGTGTTGTTGACGACTGTGCAAGCGTTGCTCTGCACTTTTACAAATGTAGTATTCGCGCGACGCATTGCAGCTACTTATTTATTTCTCCACAGAGTGCAATCCGACTCGGGCCGCCAACAATCCAAGAATGAGGGACTACTTCATAGTGACGTGGTTGACTGTGATTTTGGTGTTGAACAGTCGATACATCTGTACTTGATGGCCTTGTATGGCGGCAGCGAAAACGGTGACGTCACGAGATGGCAGGTCGCAGGGCTGATGGCTGGCGAGCCTGAGGCATTGTGGTCGGGGGGCGTTTGAGGCGGTCAACTGTGCTCAATCTTGACTTCGACGTTCAATGTTGGTTGGTTGGCTCCTGCCGCACCAGACCGCCACTGTCCGTGTTCCCCGAGCTCGCTGGCATTTTCTATCCCCTTGACGCCTGGCATGCCTCTAGCCGTTTTGCCTTCCCAATGTTCCCAAGTAGGCATGCACAAGGGACGCCACCACTGTCGCCCGCTCTTATTTTTGACCTAGTCCTTAATTTAGAAGATCCTTGCTTTGCCGTCCTTGTACTGGGGAGCCAACTTGGGAATGGCGCCGAAATTGAGATATACTTGCATGGATAAGGATGATGTTGCCTGGGAGAAAAGTGATGAGGAGGTCGAGGCGTGGGAGAGATCACTCCTGCGCAACTCGGACATGAACCGTGCCATAGGCAATCTCATCTTAAAATACAGACCTGGCAAGGCCGTGGTGCTTCACAGACCGATCAGAGGAGGGTACAACGTATGCTACCAGCTAGAATACGATGATGGTTCGTCGGCTGCCATGAGGTTTCCTCTCAAAGGTATTTGGATAAGAGTGCCTGCCTATTCATGGCAAACGAACCCACAACGACGTTACTAAAGCAAAACAGGCGTTGTCAAATTCCCCGAGGAAAAGGTCAAGTATGAGGTGGCTACAATGCGCTACGTCGCGGCAAACACCACTATTCCAATTCCCAAAATATATTATTATGGAACTGGAGCCGAGAATCCTACTAGCCTTGGCCCCTTTATCATTATGGATTATATAAAACATGACAGGACAATGTCGGATGCTTTAAAAGACCCCCTTCTTGGACCCGATGAGCCTCATGTCTTAGACGCTAACATTAGCAACCAAAAACTCAAATTTCTCTACAGACAAATGGCCGACATTCTACTGCAGCTATCTACCCTTAGATTTTCACACATAGGCTCGTTGGTCCAGGACAAGGATGAGGCCGTCTCTGTTTCGGGACGGCCTCTTATCCATGTTTCGGGACGGCCTCTCATCCAGAACATGAATTCCTTGGTAGAGCTCGCCGGCGTCGTCCCATCGCTACTCCCATCAAAGAGGTATTCTACCTCTACAGAATGGTATTCCGCTATGGCCGATATGCATCTGGCTCAGCTAGCGTTTCAACACAACGACGCTGTTTCCGACGAGGACGATGCCCGCGATAAATACGTAGCTCGCCAGCTGTTTCGACGACTAGCATCCAGTGGCCAACTTGCACTTGGATTAGTCCCCGAGGATAAGCACTACTGCGAGTCAACGTTTCGACTGTTCTCTGAGGATTTACGCCCATCTAATGTCCTGATTGACCAACATCTCCGCGTGGTAGGTGTCATAGACTGGGAGTTTGCCTATTTTGCCCCAGCACAGTTCTCCGCTGACCCGCCTTGGTGGCTGCTCTTGAAGAGCCCAGAGGACTGGCCTGACGGGTATAATTCGTGGATGGAGGCATATGAACCACGCCTTAATACCTTTTTAAGCGTCTTGGAAGAGGAAGAGAAGAAGACGCGGACTCCATCGTTCCCTGCGAAAGGCTCGGATTTGCCCCTTTCCCAACGAATGCGAAAGAGCTGGGAGAGCAAAACGTGGATGGTTAGTTACGCAGCCAGAAATAGTTGGTCTTTTGACTTTATCTTTTGGAGATACTTGGATCACGCCTATTTTGGGCAAAACGAGGATGGAGATTATCAGACGAGACTGAACCTTCTTTCGGAGGAAGAGATTGCGGCGATGGAAGCTTTGGTCGAGATAAAAATGGAGGAAAGCATGGACAGGAAGCTCGTCCATTGGGAACACGACAATGCTGTCGCCCGAATGGCCAAGTTTATGCTCTAAAAAGCTTGAGTTTTTTGCATTGAACTGTATAGTTCACAGGTCCTACTCCAAGAGGAGCAGAGAAGCAGAAAAGGGTGTGAGCCGACAGTTGTTAAAGTGGGATTGGAAGGGCTAGGTTCTAATTATATGCTCTTTACAGATTAATAACGTTTATGAACAAAGTCGAAACGCACCGGGAATTATCGGTCGACGGTCCGTATCTCGTGGGCCGCGCCAGCAAATCGGCCATTAACACCGTCTACCATGGCAATTATGAGGGGCCAATTGACTTGCGGAGGTCGGGCTTGGGCCTGGTAATGGAGCAGTGACAAGAAGACAAGGATTAATAAAAGAACGTCTTACGTTATGCCCAGGAAGGGGCAGCGGGCAGGTCGTGAAATCGCATACCGAGGCGACACACGAGCACCTGGACCTCGGCGCGGGCGAGAGGACTAACTCTCAGAGACTGCATTTCCATTTCGCAAATATACAAATTAAAGTTAGAGTTAGACAACTGCCGCGCGAGGCAGAGAGCTTGCCGGCACATTTACCGTGCAATCGAGGTTGAGAGAACAGTGAGAGGCTGCACCAAGCGGCAAAAAGCGATCGCTAGATGGCGCCGCCAGAAAGGAGCAGCGGGGAACTTGACATGATCCGTCCAATACATGCATCTCACATGGAATCCAGGTCCCAGAGTGCTTGACTCAGTACCACCAAGTCGGCGGATCGTAGGCAGAAGCCCCCCTTGCCTTGTCATTGCTCGGTGGGGCTTGTCATCGGCTTGTTCTGTTCTCTATGAACTGACCGATGGCGTCGCGATATGCAATAGTATAAAGACCCTGGGGATTATCAAGCGGACTTGGTCCAAGTTGATAGTCGCAGGGGCTGTAGTTGAAGCACTGCCAGGTGCTGTTGATTGTCTATGAAGGTCCTGCCTTGCATCAAGGATGTGCTACTTACTATACTATGAGTACTGCGTGCTCATGCCTGCGCAGCTGGCAGAATGACCTGTCCTGTGCGATATTACACAAATATCATAATAATGGAGTTGCCTGCTCATTAGTTGCAAGCAAGCAAGGCGGCAAGGCTCCGAGAAGGAGGTGGGGAAAAAAACAAGGCTTTTGTGGACTGGACTGAACTTCGAGAACCAACTTGGCATTTCAACAGCCCATTATCGAGGTCGAACAAGAACAACCGAGTATCTCTCTAGCTACGCATTTGGCGCCTTCTCCCCCCATTTCATTTGATCCACGCATCCCCTCCCGTCATGCAAGGCTCAAATCGGCTAAATTCGTTGTAGATTCTCGGGAGGGCTCGGATTTCGGCATCCTGCACTAAGGCGAATCTGCAAAGTTCAGCCACAAGATGGCAGACATGGATGCACGGAGAGACATTGCTCGAACAGAACAGAAGGCTGCCAACTTTTTGGCTGTTTCCGCCATCGATGGGCCACCAGACCCGTCGTCTTGGATCCCCGGCCAGAGAAGCGAGGCGCTATCCATGCAATCCATGTTGATCCACGTCGATTCCAGGTCGGTTTTACGGGGCTGGCTAGCTGGCGACGAGCCCATTCGTCTCTCTCCATCCCATCTCGACTCGAACCCGCCCAACCCCGTCGCCCATCAGCACATCAAACAGCTGACTAGGTCGAATGAAGCAAATTTATTAGTAGTACTACCACAGGCGGCAGCACCCACATGCTGGTATCAATTCGTGACCTCGGTGGACTCGCCGGTCCAAGTCGACCTAATGCCAGTCATTCATGCATTGCACTGACCCAAGGCTGTTGTTGAGTGTGGCGCCCGACAGGGGGAACTCGCGCCATGGCTGATTGACTCAATTCCTCAACCCTCCTCTTCTCTGCATCCACAAACTTGCAAGGCGCCACCACCAAAACGGATCGTGACGATACAAGGCCGAGGTCGTTTTATCAACATTGCCTCCCTTGGCCATTGCATCCGGCCCCGAATGAATTGACAAGCCAGCGCCCGCGACAGTTGGGACTGTTCTGCCGTCCAACAATGTATTCAAGTTACCAATTGGTCTGGGTTATCGCTGCCACCATCTTGCTCTTTCTGACCTCGTTTCCCGCCTTGATAATTTTCTTCTGCTCGCTATGCGTCGTTCGCCGGAAGAAGGATCCTTCTCGAAACTGGTTGCTCTGGTTTAAATCAGGATTTATCTTGTTCTCATTGTAAGGACCATCTTTTCCCCCGCGCCCTTGCCGTACCACATGACTGCCGAACAAATCAAGAATCGAAAATTGGGTTTCTGGCCGCCTACGGGAACACATAAGGCAGAGAGAGTGGCACTCTCACGGTTTTTTTCTTTTTTCTTTTATACTAACCCATGGCCAGGGCCGGCTTCTCCTGTTTCATCGTACATTTATTCGCCGTCCTCTTCTCCGATCTCTATCTGCCAAACTCTGATTCCATCCACTCGAAAGACATTCTACCTGTCCAGGTCGAATTTGATCTCCTCGGCACCGTACTCACGAACTTCTGTGACATTTGCCTCATACTTGCCATTAGCGGACTCGACAAGGGCATCCTCATCGCGCACAACACAGAACCGAGCCATGGCGATGGCGACGTGCTACCCGGAACAGTCCAGCTCGCTGATAAGATATTCCACTTCTCCGTCTATGGACTCGCCGGTGTCCTTTTTATTCTGAGCATCGTCGCATTTTCTATTGGCCAACACCTCTATTGCACCTTTGGTTTGGCCAGCAGCCGTATCGGATATGACCACTCCTACGTTGGATCATCGTATAGCCAGATGGAGTTGGGCAAGGCATCCCACCTCTTGTCTTTGACCATGTATTGTATGGCTCTGGCTGTTGTGGTGTGCATCTCTATCAAGTCCATCGTTACAAAGATGCGCTGCCGAGGAGACAAGCGTGTTGCAATGGTATGTTGGCACAGTGACGTCGCTGAAACTCTCATATCGCACCTCATCATTCGTATTGACGTCTTGTTCTTCCACCTGCAGGCATGTACGTATCTCATTGTATGCGATTCGCTCCTTATATTGCGCAATTCCTACATTGTGGGCTTTGCTTTAGCATTCAAACCTCGCGACGGCGCCACCAACACACCGCCTTCTGTATTCACCGTCATAGATGTGATTGCAGATACCTGGCCGGCCTTGGTGATCTTCTGCGTTCTTTTCGCCCTCGGCTGCAAGAAGCGCGGCCTGTGGTCTACGAAGCAGCCTTATACACCAGGTCTCCTAGACGTCACACCTCAGCAAAGCCCTCGGAGCTATTCGCACGGTACTAGTCAGCCAAGTGAAGCAGACCTAGAGTCCAATATGCAGGAACCCCAGATGCACGAGATGCCGCAAGTCACGTCCCGCGAGCACATTCTGCACGAACCGATGCCTCGGCACGAAATCCCACGCCGCCCAGTGAATCCGCCACCACTGCAGGGAGAGCAGCAGCAAATACGAGAAACGTTGGAAGCTGAAGGCCAAGATGATTCACCCCCCGACTATTACAGCGCTCGCCACCAAGCTCCTCCTCAACCCGTGCCCCAACACGCATTGCCATTCACCCCCGTCGGTGCCGGCGAGGAAGAAGCACAAGCAGGTCCGTCGTTTGCGCTACCAGTGCAACGAGGCTACGATGGCGTACCACTGTCTGGCTCACCGCCCCCTCACGCGGACGCCATGGGGCTTTATCATCAAGCAGACGGGAGAACACCGCAGTCGCAGCCTTTGCCATATAATGAGAAGAGTTGAGGTCATGAGAAAAAATACCTTTCTTTCGGCATATATTTCTATTGCCACACACTGTCTATTGGGTTATGGGTGAATCAGAGCAGCGGAGTTTGAGGCGTTGGGCAGTACATATTTTTGCATGGAGTATACACAAAGGGGACACCTTATGTTGAACGATTAATTTCCTACTAGAAACATCATGTACACACATCTATGATTTAGCCTTGAACTCGATCTAGTCTACGTCTTCGGAAAACTCGGGCGGTGCAACATACGGGCCGTCTGCGCCCATGGTGCCAGCGACATACCTGAACGCGATTAGCATCGAGACGGTTTTTCTTCTCATTTTTTTTTTTTTTCGCGGTCAATAGCACAAACTTTGTATGGCTGCCCCTGGCAGCTAATTGGCCTTTGCCGTTGGTGAATGTAACCGTCGTAAATGCGAGCGTCTTCCCAACTACGTCCATGTCAGCCGTGTGCCTTTACTCGCAACAAAACGCCCGAAGCCCCGACACGTTGGTTCTCTTACTCTTCTCGCAGATGGCCGTCCCCTTGAGGACGTCGCCTGGATTCCCACCAGGCGCAAGATACGTCACTAACATGCCGGGAAGGAAAAAACAAGACGAATCAGCCACACTTATTCTCCAAGATTCCCGAGTTTCCTCAGAGGGCCTTCTCACCGTTCAAGTCTGTCGAGACACCGGTCGCGAAGCGGCCTGTGGACGCAACGGCCAGCGAGCCCCCGAGATCGACTAGACTGGCGAGCGTGCCCCCGTGTATGGTGTTGAGGCGGTTCTACGATGGGGGCTCATAAGCATGCTGTTTTTTTGTTATGGACGGGGAAATTTCAAGGAAGCAAGGCGGAATCGGAGCTCACCGTGTGGTCTCTGTGGATGTCGAGCTCGAAGTCGACACGTCCGGATTGCGCGCTCACAACGCGGAACTGGAACTTGTTAGTTGGTGAGGGGGGCTTTATTTGGATTGACCTTACTCTTGGGCCTAGTAATCTGTGTGTAAAGAGTCAGAGGTTTTTTTTTGTGTGTGTCAGACTTGGGATACGGTGCCGGGCTCACCTCGGTTCCAGGCCCGAGTCGGCCATGAATGACCGCATCACCTGCGGGAAATTAGCACCGTTCGTGATGTGAGATGCGTGTGGTGCACATACGGCTTTTGTGAAAGCAGTAGGGGTTAATTTCTTGGCCATTGCGTCAGGACGGCTTGTGGTGGTGGGCTGTTGTACGGGGGAAGGAAGAGGGTTGAGGTCGGTCCGTTCCTGAGCTTCTGCGGATGAAGCTGAAGGAGGGTGGTATCCGCTTCTCGGGGGGGCCAGGGACGGAGCCCCTGCGTACCCGGTACTTCGGCCGGCTGTTGGGATCGGAGAACGAATAAAATCGAGTTGGGGTGAGCGGGTGTATCTAGCTGGCGGCGGGATTTTTATTTTGGCGGTGCTGGGTAACGGGGCGGGAACTAAGGCGAAATAAAGCAAAGATGACGACTACGTCCTGTAATTGATGGCAAATGCTGGAGTTGTGGAAGCGGCCTAGAATATTTGTTTGCCAACACGCTTATTGATACTGTCATCTATTCACTGACTATGGCCACTGGACAGAGTGTGTGCTTCTCCGCAGTAGCGCGATGACACGGGAGAAATAGAGCACGGTTTACTTGTGGTGGAGGAATTGAAGCCCACCACATGGGATGAGACGATTGTTGCATCAATTCAAGGTGCGAACAGGCAAGTGTTGGCGTTGGCGGCACCAGCTAGGAAGAAGCGCGCGCTAAGCATTTAATTCTCCGACCATCACCCGAATGCACGCAGCCGTAAACTTTGACCTACCACGACGTTTTGAACCACATTCAGCTTTACGCACTCGCTCGCCCGGCCGTCCTTTCATGGCCGTCCTTCCCACCGGCGGGCCTCAACTCAGCTTATGATGATATAGCTACACGGCATATTTTCCCCGACGGACTGGTCTCGCCGCCGCCAACATGTCCGTCAACCCAGCGCCTTCGCTGCAGCTCGCAGACTACCTCGAGAAGCTGCCTGGCACCACCTTTAGAAAGCTGTACCAGCAGCCCTCGACGGCGTTTGCCATTTTCCGGCGCATGCTGCCGCATCTAGGTACATTTTCCCTCGTCTTTGGAAGCTGGGCTGCCGCTGTTCTATACACCATGTACTCGCTGCTAACTCTGTCACGCTGGCCCAGCCAAGACACTAGTTATGCGCATCCTCTACATGCCCAAGCCGATGCCTCTCAGCGACCTCGACCTTTGGGTGAAGCCAGACGCAAAGAGGTAAAAAACCCGCCCCTTATCCCAACCAAACCACAAGGTTCCTTTAGCAGTGACACCCTCGAATCTAAAACCGGAATGCCAAAACAGACAGCGAGACCATGCCATCTCGACCCTCAAAGGCCTCCACATTATCCAAATCTCCATGCCATCCAAGGAGAAGCCCCAGGAAATGCAGCTGACGACCAACTTCAAAAACTCCCTGCGGCTAGCCCTCACCGGCGGAGGCGAACACAACTCGTTTGGCGTGCCGTCGACGCTCCTCGTCCCCCCCGAGATCGACACGGCCTTCCTCGACCGGTACGCGCGCAAGAGGTGGGAGGACATTCTGCACTTTGTCGTCTCCAGCGTCGGGTACAAGAGCACGGGCGACGTGTCGGGCCCCAACAAGAGCGTCAAGGAGCTCCTCATCGCGGGCAGGCTGGTCGACCGCCGGCCCAACGGCAGCATCGGCATCACGCAGGCCGGCTTCACGTTCCTGCTGCAGGAGCCAAACGCGCAGGTCTGGACCCTGCTGCTGCTCTGGCTCGAGGCCAGCGAGACCAACAAGGCGGCGGGCCTCGAGACGGTCGACATGCTCTCGTTCCTCTTCGTCCTGGCGAGCCTCGAGCTCGGCCGCGCCTACGACACAAACGCCCTCACCGAGCAGCGCAGGAACATGCTCCCCTCCCTCCTCGACTTCGGCCTCATCTACATCCCGCAGCACAAGCGGTCCATGTTCTTCCCGACCCGGCTCGCCACCGCCCTCACCAGCGGCGGGGGCAGCCTGCGCACCATAAGCGAGGGCGTCGCCGCCGCGACCGCCGCCGCGGGCCCTTCCTCGCAGTCTGGCTCGGGCTCGGGCGCGCCACCGCCCGCACCAGCGGCGGGGGCAGCCTGCGCACCATAAGCGAGGGCGTCGCCGCCGCGACCGCCGCCGCGGGCCCTTCCTCGCAGTCTGGCTCGGGCTCGGGCGGAGCGGGCGGGCCCCTCGGCCCCTCGGCCGACCAAAAGGGCAGCGTCATCGTCGAGACCAACTACCGCATCTACGCGTACACCCAGTCCACGCTGCAGATTGCCGTCCTCGCCCTCTTCTGCAAGCTCAACATGCGGTTCCCCGACATGGTCGCCGGCCGCGTGACCCGCACCTCCATCCACCAGGCCATCAACTTCGGCATCACGGCCGACCAGATCATCTCCTACCTCGCCGCCCACGCGCACGAGCAAATGCACCGCACCGCCGCCCTCGCCAACAAACCTATCCTGCCGCCCACCGTCGTCGACCAGATTCGCCTGTGGCAGCTGGAAAACGAACGCATGAAGACGACGGGCGGCTTCTTGTTTCGCGATTTCGAGGACCACAAGGAATTCCTGGATACGGCGCGGTTCGCAGAGGAAATTGGCGTCTTGGTTTGGAGGAGCGACAAGTCGGGCATGTTTTTCGCCAACAAGTACGAGCAGATTAGGGATTATTTGAAGAGCAGGAAGCGTATCGAATAGGCGAAGAGTGCTTTTGCTCACTAATATTTCCCAGGTAGAAAACAGCCTTGTACTTTTGTACTTTTTCTGAAAAAAAGGACAAAAGAAGAAAAAACTGGGAGCGGCGTTTGGCGGGTTGGATATAATATCGAGGGACACTATATACAGTTGACAGGCTTAGATGCAGCAAAGTCTGCCTGCCATCAACAAGATCTGAGCATGAGGCCTCAGAATAAAGAAAAATGAAATTAGTTAGCAGCATGATTACCAATGCCTGGTCCCCTTTTTTTACACCTAATATACACCGCATGTCTGCTTCTGCCCGCGAAGCAAAGCCATCGTAAGCAATACGCATCCTTCTAAATTTACAACGATACGCCCGAGAGCCAATTAGACCAGCCAGTTTCATGAGATATGCCGATATGATGCCGTCGCCAAAACAAAAGGAAGCCGTGTAAGCCCGTTTTTTTTTTCTTTTTGTTTTCCCTTGAAAAAATGTGACAAAAAGTCGAAAATCCAATACCAATCCACTGCCCAATCGTTATTCAGACAAGAAAGATGAAACCGATACAACCAATTGTTCATCTGCTTCCACCCGGCAGAGGAAAACAAGTAGCGAGCGAGAGAGCCAATAACACTCCAAACACACCAAAAGGCTAGTCTCCAAAACAAGCTTTAAGCCAACAAGCGTTCAGTATACGGACACTCCACGGCCCGGAGTAATGCCAACCGCCCCTGACCTTGAGTTTGTCAACTCATTGATTCTTGGTTCTCGTCGTTTGTCGTCACTTTCAAAGCGATTACCCACACGGGCAAGAAGGCCGTTCTTCTGGCCTTTATCATACGGAAAACATCCACCTTCAAAGCGTTGATAAAGAGCGTAGTAATGCCTGAACGACTCTTGAGCCTCTTTTGTAGTGCACTCCGACTCTAGATACTGGGATATACGTTGGTCAACATCATGTTCATCCGGTGGACGTGGTATGGAGTCGTACGCAACTGTTGGTAGAGCTGATGTTGTGTTTGACGGAGCGAGATACGTCAAGCGATCAGAAGATGCCGGCGACGGCCGAGCTGGGAGGGGCAATCGCGTCTGCCAGCGGCCCTTGGTGTTTTGTGGTGGTGATGAAGATGCATGTAAGGAGCCATCATTAAGCATTTTGGTAAATAACCTATCACGCCGTCCACCGTAGCGTCCAGCCCAGTACATCCCGTCCTGTGCCTCGCTCTCCGATTTTCGAGGAGAGATATTAGCAGGAGAGCTTGGGCGAGTATCGTTCCCAGGAAAGTGTACTAGGGTCGACTCAGAGGATCGAGAGCTCGAAGCACTCAGTTCAGATTCGTCTGGCTGCGGGCGATCAAGGTTGGGACTCTGGATGGCGGCCAAGCCCTTTCTCGAAAACGGCTTCTTGAGTTCTTGAAGCACCGTCAGCGCCATCGACATGTGCCATTTTCTCATCGACCTAGGAATGGAAGAATCCGCATCATTTTCTTTCAAAGGTAACTTGTTTTCAGCAGTGTCAGCCGCCGACTCCGGACGCGCAGTCAGGGTATACCTGGGGAGCTGCTTCGACGACGACCTTCTTGAAAGCGACAAGAAGGCGGACCTCTTGCCCAGCGACGCCTTGGAAGAATTATTTGTCTGTATCCGAGTAAGAGCGCTGACATCCGACTCCACAACCGTCGGGCTCGCGGACGGAGGCTCCGTAATGGGGAAGCTTTTCGAGACCCGTCGAGACTTCCGCGAGGCAAGCGAGTCCGAAGAAGAGCCCGGGTTGCATGTCATGTAGCTTCGGTTGCCCTCGCAGTAATCGACCCAAGCTGTGCCCTGCAAGGCCTCTGTTGCACTGAATCCCGATCCGCCCATATGTTGAACAGGACCAATTGGTGCTGATATGACGGGTCGTTTTGTGTGTGTCCGTCTGTGCATGATGGTGTATTGACGTCACTCTGAATCTGCCAGGGGTTGAATATCCGACCTTGAAAGTCCTATAGTAGGCGACTGAGGTTATTTTGTTTTTTAAAAGGAAAAGCAGAAGGGAAAAAAAATTAAAACTTGAATTGTTTCTGGCCTCACATCCATGGAGTGCTGTTGAGATGGCGTTGTTTTTAAAGCAAGTCAAGACAATGAGTAGCAGCCAAACGGGCGCGAACATAGAACAGAGCAAGCAGACTATCGTGTTCGGCTCGGCAGGACACGCACCTGTCTACGCCTTGATGAGCACGACAATCTTCGCCGTGGCGTCAATGAAGAAAAGTGTTTCAGACGACGTCAAAAGTGTTTGTTTACGAACAAACGGCCGCCGTTGAGCACGATAGCCGCGGGCGAGGTGAACAATGAAGGCGGGTGCTGGAAGCTATGGTAATTCTTGCAGAGATGATTGGGGAAGGGGGGAAGAAGGAGGGAAAAGGGAAAAAAAGAGGCAACATTGAAACTATCAAATGGCCGCAGAGTTCATTCGCTTGAAGTGAATGGCAGGTGGCGGGCAGGCGGCTCGCCAGTCGTCGGCAGCTGCCCGCCATTCAGCGCAGGCTCTTTAACCCTCTCCCTTAATTGTTCCCGCGCTCCCTTGGTTCCCTTGAACGACGAGAAAGCAAAGCCGGTCCATGTTGAAACCATTTATTATTGTCTAGTAGGCCGCCCATCCGACAGGATCCTATTGTCTGTCGTCGTGACTGTCGCCGTCCCAACCCTCAATGGCAAACTCAAACACGACATCGCCATGCCCGCGCTCGATGCGGTGCCCGTTGCGATCCCACAATGCCCTCTCCACGACCTTTACATTTCCATCCCAATCGACCAGCACCACCGTCTGCCTCTGCGTGCCGTACGTGCCCGTCTCGAAGCCGTTGGCCGCCTGCGCGCTCACCTCGGGCTGCTGGTCCAGCAGGATCTCCTCCACGGCCCGTAGCTTGCCCTCGTCCCTGGCCCAGGCCGCCCTGCCCTTTGCGCGAGCCGCCTCCATCGACTCGAGGTGGCCCTCATCGCCCAACTCGGGCACGAAAATGGTGTGCCGCAGGAGGCCCGTCAGCTCCTCAAAGCTCGCGCCCGGCCTGGCCGCGGGGAAGGTGTCGGTGTCCAGCACCCCGAACAGGGCCTCTACCAGACGCTCCTCGCTCTCCTCGCGCTCGACGGCCCCGGCCACGGCCTCGCGAAGCATCCTGGTGCCCAGCTCGACCTTTGGCCACGCGGCCTCGGCGTCAAAGGTGGTGTTGCTCAACCCCCACGTCTCCCCCCTCTGCTCGGCCACGATGGGCACCTCGTCGGCGCGCCCAGCCCGGTTGCTGACGATGGCTATGCCCTCCCCCTTCTTCCTCAGCTTGCCGCAGACCAAGGAGAACCCCCCCACCCCCTTGACGCCGTCGTCCTTGACGAGCTGCTCCACGCCGTCTTTGATGCTGCTCCCCAGCCCGGCCAGCCAGGCCGTCACCACGGCGCCGCGGCTCTTCCTCCCGTGGACGGGGTGGCTGGCGTCGTGGGCGTCGGCCTCGCGGTAGTTGGTCAGGACGGCGAATATCCCCGATTTCGTTATGCCCAGCCAGGTGCCCTTTTCCGCGCGCTGGAGGTCCCTTGACGACAGCACCTGCTCGCCAGAGGTTGGGTGTGTCCACCAGTGAGGGCGGGATGTCGGGCGCAGGATAAACTCGTCCCTGTTGTCAATCAAGATGAGGGGGTAGTCGGGATGCGCCGTGGTAAATAGCACTATGCACATCTTGTATCTTGATATGTCGATTAGATGCTGTGATGTTGGGAAAAAAAAAAAAAAAGTTGCGCGTGTGCCGGTCGCAAGAGTGGTTGGAGGCTCGTCAGCGCCGAGGTTCCTCGGATGGTCTTGGGAAGTTGTGCTGGTGGTTCGTAGGCAGGTCGTGTACTAATGCAAAGAAGCCGCCACAGCCCGACGGCGTCTCATGGTCGTGGAATGCGGACAGGCCAAGACGAGACAAGTCGTCAGATCATGAGGTGTTCTCATTGAAAAGTGGCATGCATCTCATCGGACCGTCGCTCACTTCTCCAGCCCAACGGCCCACTTTCCCAGGCCAAGATTCGCCACAACCACCACATTTCAAATTCTGCAACACGATATTCCCTCGGTAGCTCCCTTGGTGCCGTCCTCTATAGTTTCTATCATGACTGTGTGTCCTTGAGCATGTCACGGTTCTCTCCTTTGGGTATAGCCAAGTACCCGGTGTTTGTACCGTTGGGTTCTACATGATGCAGTGCTGGCACAGATATTGGGATAAGCTGGGAAAAAAAAAATCATGATGAAAATCTATAGTCTCTATTATGATCTAATTCGCATCCATTTCAACTTTTATTATTCCTCATGTACTCCGCTGCGTGCAGTGCAAAAATGGCAGTCTATGATGCTCAACTTGGACGATGCAACTACCTCTTGTTAAAGTTCAAGAATCGACTCTGTTTTTTTTTAAGTTAGCACGGAAACTCTACCAGGTCTGGAATAGACGTACCGCGGTAAAAAGAATGATTAAATTGCTGCCAATAAAGGCTATATAAATACCCAAGTCTCTCCACCGGTTATCAAACGACATGTTGAGACGTCGGTAAAACTCGTCGCCGATTTTGTACGCGCAATACTCGCAATTTTGCGTATCGTTGCTGGCGAGATATCCCGGTGCACCACGCTCAAAAAACGGCGTCATGTACTCCCCGCACGTCATGTTGCTGGGTGCAGTGAAGCGGTTCACCTCGGACGGGGTGCAGACAACCCGGAGCCCGTGCAGAGCCGTCGTTACCATGCCGCTGATGAGCCGGGTGAAGGGGTCGAGTTGGTAGAGCCAAGCGCGCCAGAAGCCCGGCATTTGGGGCGCCGGGATGGTGACTCCGCAGAAGAGAGCGAATATGATGATGATGAAGGGGTCGAACTGGGCCGAGATTCGGGGCGAGGGCGTCAGCGATGCCAGAACCTGGCCCAGGGTGACGGCAAAGACTTCGGTGATGAGAACCATGAAGAATTGGTAGCCGGCTCGTGAGGGCGTGGCGTCTAGGCCCGGCATAAAGTATAGGCAGACAAAGAAGACGACTGCGCAAAGCATCGAGTAGGGCATCTCGGCGGCGACAATGGCCGTGGCAAAGGTCCAGGGCGAGTACATCTTGGATGAGGCTTCGCGGAAAAAGAGGGCTCGCTTGATGTGGAACATGACTTCCACTTGGGTGATGATGAGGGCTGGCAGAACCGTGACCTGGAAGATGACGAAGACTGTGTACTGGAGCGAGGATCTGGACGTGTCGAGGCTGAGGTACGTTAGACCGGAGAAGAAGGCCACGGCAAAGTGGTTGAACAGCCGAGTAAAGAGGTAGTTTGGCGAGCGCCAGAATGCGCGGAACATGCGGCGAACCACAATCTTGATTTGGTGGTGAATCGGCGAGGCGTATTCCTTCTCCAGGTCGGGGTTCGCATGCTGCGCTACGCATCTTCGCTCCTCCCTCATGTCAACAATGGCCTTCTTGACACGCTCGAGCTCGGGGCTCTCGTCCCAGATATCTGCCCAGTCACGCTCACCAATCCGGGGACAACTGCCGGCACCAATGGCCTCGAGCATGAACTCGGCGACGTTGTCCGTAGGGGCGGCCTCGGCCCCATGACGCCTCAGATATGCCCGCAAGATGCAAGCGTCTTGGCCAATATCACCAAAGTAGACGGTCCGGCCGCCACGCTGAAGGAGCAAGAGCCGATCAAAGTTTTCGAACAGAGCAGCGTTGGGTTGATGGATGGTGCAGAGAATAGCTTGTCCTGCCGCAGCGAGCTTCTTGAGGAATCGGACAATGTTGAACGCACTCTGACTGTCGAGTCCCGACGTGGGCTCGTCCAGAAAGAGGAGAAGTTCTGGCTTGGCAGCAAGTTCAACGCCAATGGTGACTCGCTTGCGCTGCTCGACAGTCAGACCGGCTTCCGCAGTGCCAATGATGCAGTCTGCGATGTGTTCCATTTCCAACAAGGCAATGATTTCCTCAACGTAGGCGTGGCGTTCGGCCGGGGGAGTCCCATACGGCTGGCGAAGGTCGGCGGAGAACCGCAGGGCCTCACGAACAGTCTGCGTCGGCTCGTGCAAATCAAGCTGTTCGGCATACGACGTTGATCGCTGGAACTGCCTGCCAGGCTTGAAGCCATCGACGAGGACGTCGCCGGTGACGACGCCGATGTTCTTGCGGGATGCGAGAACGTCGAGAAGGGTCGTTTTGCCGGCTCCCGAAGCGCCCATGAGAGCCGTCAGCTCACCAGGTCGAACGTAGCCGAATATCTTGTTGAGAAGGCGGCGTGTGCCTCCCGGGACAGGGACATCATAGTTGAGATTCTCCCATGTGAGGATACTTTCCGACTTGATGCTGAGATCAGATCCAACCTCATTCGACTTGTCCTTGCGCCTGGCCTCCCGCTTCTGTAGCAGTTTCTCATTCAAGGCTGCACGTTCCTTGTTAGGGCGCTGGTAAACCTTGAATGAGTTGCCTCCCATTCCAAACTTGACGACCTCGCCGAGCACAACGTTGAGAATCAGGAAGAAAATGATGATGCTCAAGACAATTCCCCAGTTCCGCCACAGGTCGCCGGGATAGTACGAAAAGCCCTGTGCAATGTAATCCGGCCCTGCGACAAATGTTGTTCCCGCGTTGGAGCCAGGCAACGTGCAGACCTGATGGTCAATATCGGTGTATCCCGGCCCAGAAGGAATCAACGAGTCCGCAGTGCAAGTCATGTCGATGCGTTGAAACTCATTCTGCATCAGTGAGCTGAAGATTAGGCCTAGCGGGTTCACCCAGTAAATCCATCGAAGCCACACTTTTTCAGACTGATACTGAATGATGTAGCCCGAGGTGGTGACGAAGAGCGTAATGATGACAACAGCAAACTTGATGGCATAGTCAAAGTCGGGGCTCACACAGCCGATGATTCGGAAGAACAGCGTCATGGC